GCTCTGTGCTTTGAGGGTTCTGGAAGGAATCTGTGGGAGGCTGGGAGGAAGATCTGGCCTGTCAACTTTCCTAGGAAAACCCTCCCCGGTCCTGGCGGGCTGTAACAAGATTCCTGCTTGGTCTCTGCATCTGGCCCAGGGATCCCGTCCCAGGGAAGCCCAGCCTCCTGGCCCTTTGCCCCTGGAAGGGGTGGGCCCTGGGTCACGGTGGGGTGGGCGGGGAGGTCATGAGGGCCACAGGGAGGGAGCACAGCAGGGCGCTCTGCCCTGAGAACACAGGACCCTGGCACCCCGGTACCCCTGCAGCTGCTGGCGTCTGTCAGACACCCTGCGGGGCACGGCCGGGGGCCTGATGGCCTCTATATCTTCCTGACAGGCCCCTCTTCGGAGGCCAGGAAAAAACAACACAGATCCTCCCCTCACAACAACCCATTTGTTAGATGAAGCCCGGGCACCAGCGCCTTTAACCTCCTCAAAGTCAGCCTGTCCCCGTCGAGGCCCCCCAGGCCTGTGAGACAGAGATGGATGGAGGTGGCATGTGTAGAAAAAAGCCCTGCGGCCTCGCAGCCTGGAAGGGCGGGGACCCCGGTTTCTGGTTGTTGTTGGGGGAGCAGGGGAGGAAGAGGCAGAGGAAGAGTGTGACTAAGGAGGGTCCCCGGGGGCGGCCTGGTCACACCTGAGCCATCCCAAGGAACTTGTGGAATCCCCCACCTCCCTCGTGCATGACAAGCAGGGGCGTCAAGGATGTGTCTGTGCCTGGCCACTACACCGGCCTGTGTCTGGAGATGAAAGGGTGTCAGGGAAGAGAAGGGCCCCAGGCCTTGGGTCTGAACATGTGGGTTCGAGGCCTCTCCTGTGCAGTCTCAGAGAAGTCACGCCCCTTCTCTGAGCTTCAGTTTTCTCACTGGCAAAATGGAGTCGACGGTACCGGCCTCACCTGACGGTTGTGAGCCTAAAGGAACTTACATCTGAGAAGAGGGTTGGCCACTCCTAGAGGATGACGCCCTTGAGGGATGGCCATGCCTTCTCTTCCCTTGGTTCTGTGGAACCACCGGGCAGGCCACATCTCTGTGGGCCAAAACCTTCGTGACACAGGGGTCAAGATCATGGCCTTGGCAACCAGGAGGGTGTGGATTCAAATCCCAGCTCTGTCATTAATAAGTGAGCCTCAGTTTCCTCATTTGTAACATGGGGATAAACGCCTTCCTTCTGCACTGGGTTGCTGAGAGAAGTGATGAGGTGATCTGGGAGAGATCTTGTCATAGCCTGGCCGACCGTGGTAACGTCTGGATGATGACAATGACGACATCTGAGATTTTTGCTTTACAGACACCTCCAGAAGATCCTTGCGAAATATGTATATGCTGCAACCCCCTGGGGCCCCCTCCCACTGTGGAAGCCTTTCTGTCCTCTCAATAAATCATGCTTTCTTAAAAAAAAGAAATATGAGCCGGGCTCGGTGGCTCAGCCTGTAATCCCGCGCTTTGGGAGGCTGAGGTGAGTGGATTGCCTGAGCCCACGGGTTCGAGACCTGCCTGGGCAGTGAGACCTCATCTCCACAATAGATCAAAAAATCAGCCGGGCGTGGTAGCGCACGCCTGTAGTTCCGGCTACTTGGAAAGCTGAGGCGGAAGGATCGCCGGAGCCCAGCAGGTCGAGGCTG